CATCCGCTCGAAAGTAGCTGGCGCGTTGCAGAGGCCGAAGGGCATGACTGTGAATTCGTAAAGCCCGTCGGGCGTGATGAAAGCAGTTTTTTCACGATCGGCCTCTGCCATGGGTACCTGCCAGTATCCAGAGCGGAGATCTAAAGAAGAGAAAAATTCGGCTCCCTGTAGGCAGTCCAAGGCATCGTCAATGCGTGGCAGCGGATAGACATCCTTGCGCGTGATTCGGTTGAGACGCCGGTAGTCCACGCAAAACCTGATGGATCCGTCCTTCTTCTTCACCAACACAACTGGAGAGGCCCAGGGACTGCTTGACGGTTCGATTATGCCACGTGTCAGCATGTCGTCAACCTGTTCATTGATGGCACGGCGTTCGGTAGTTGACACACGATATGGACGCTGCCGTAATGGCGTCTCTTGACCGGTATCTATACGGTGAACAACAGATGACGCTCGACCTAAGGAAGGCTGATTGTGGTCAAACGAGGCTCGAAAACGCTGTAGGAGCTTGATCAGCTGTTTCTGCTGCCCAGGCGTGAGGTTACAATCGATGGACTTGCGGAATACATCCATAGGTTCATTAGCGTCAGTTGCGGGTGTAATGGCACAAGTCGGTAGAAATGGCTTGTCTGGATAGATCGGGTCTTCGAAAATACAATTTAAGGTCTCGAGGCTTCCCAGACACTCACCGCGTAGCAGGATGTACGGACAAGCAGAAACGTTGCACGCATAAAGTACCGCCGAACCATTGGAAAAGTTGATGACGGCAAACGGGAGGACGATGGTTCGGTGTTGCACACTAGCTATAGTTGGTTGGAACAGGAGCGTCGAGTTAGTGGCAGCAGGGGAAAACACAGGCACTAGGACGGCGGACAACGGCGCGATGCGGACGTCAGCTGCGGCAAACACTTTCGAGGGACTGTGGTGGTCGATATCAAGGCACGAATTCGTCAACGTGAGTTCAGCACGAGCGCAGTCGACGAGGGCCTGATGGGTAGAAAGGAAATCCCATCCTAGTATGACGTCGTAAGATGAACGTGGGAGAACAACAAAGTTGACAGCGTACCAAACATCTTGAATAAGAACGCGTGCTGTGCACTGAGCTGTCGGCGCGATGAAATGGGAGGTGGCTGTACGTAGAGCAAGATTCGTAAGCGGCGTTGTAACTTTTCTCAAATCGCGACACAGTTTTTCACTAATTACAGAAACGACGGCGCCTGTGTCGACAAGTGCACGTACAGCAACACCTTCTACCAGCACATCAATTTCGTTGGTCGGACGAAGAGGAGGTCTTAGAAAGTTCGACGACGACGCAGTTCTTGCCTCCGGAACTGCGGCTGTCAGTTTTCCTCTCGAGCGGGGCTCGTGCGCCGAAGCATCGGGGAGACAGATCGGCGACGGGGTGGTAATGACCGGCGAGAACCGACGGGGCGTCGTGGGGACAATGAGTCGGTGATAGGAGAAGATGGTCGCTGGGGATTCTGGGCAGCCTGGTAATTTGCAGAATTCCCATGGTCTGGAGGCTGGAAGTTGCGACGGCGACAGTAGCGTGCTATATGTCCCACGAAACCGCATGCGAAACAAATGGGTCGATTATCCAAGGTGCGCCATGGGTTAACGACAGAAGGTGCAGGGGGCGAAACGGGATGGGGTGCCGTGTATGTAGGCAGCGTCGTAGGGTAGGAGGACCCGGTGCCCCGGTATGCGCCAGAGACAGGTGGGGCTGGGGGTCTAGCAACGACGGCAGCGTAGGTCAGCGGCGTAGGTACAGGTGGCGATGGAGGCAGTGCCTGCGTGACCTGTGTATCAATGACCTGGCGTAGACGTGGGTCTAACGAGGTCACTGGCGCGGATGCTTCGGCCACAAGAGAAAGCTGACGCGCAACTTCCTCACGAATGAATTGTTTGATTTGGGGCAGTAAGACGGTGTGATCAGCAGCGACGTCGTGTACGAGGGCGGAAACTTCAGCCGTATCTTCTGCGGCCCTGCGCGTCGAGACACGCTGCTTACGCAACTCGTCATACTCCTGACAGAGCTGGACAACATCGGTGACGGTCTGTGGATTTCTAGCGACGAGCATCTGGAAGGTGTCGTTGTCAACTCCTTTGATGATGTGCTTGATTTTGTCGCGTTCGGTTAGAGATTCATCGACGCGCTTGCAAAGGGACAAGACATCTTCAATGTTACTCGTAAAGGTCTCGTCCCTGCGCTGGACTCGACTACGGAGACGCTGTTCCGCGCGAAGCCGGCGCACGGCGGGACGGCCGAAGACCGCGGAGATGGTGGTCTTGAAGGCGGACCAGTTGGTAATTTCGCCTTCGTGGTTTTTGAACCAGAGGCTGGCCACATCAGCGAGGTAAAAGCGCACGTTTGTGAGCTGGTCGCAGGCGTTCCACTTATTGGAAGCGCTTACAATTTCGTACTCGACGAGCCAGTCCTCGACGTCTTGTTCATCGTTGCCGCGAAAAATTGGTGGGTCGCGTTGCCGAGGCGCGCCAGTACAGTAGACTGTCGTTGGTAAGGCAGCTTGAGAAGGGCCAGGAGCAGTCATGGTGAACGGTGAGGGTAGCGTCCGATTGCGAAGTTCCAGGTTGATGGGAACCCCGGCTCCTCCACCACTTAAAATAGAGGTGTTGTACGTCGAGAAAGGTTCAGACGTAGCTTGGCAAAATGTCCTTTATCAGGCAGGTCTGGCTAATGGCGAGTGGCGTGCGCGAGCTACTACTGCAGCCACCGATCATCATCGTCTTCTTCGTTGCCTGCAGAGCGTCCGTTATTCAGATTCATTAATTCATTACAATATATATATATATATATATGCGGTAAGTGACGGTGACGCCGATACTAGCGGCGAAATCCTGCCGACAGCGTCCATACAAGTGCTATCGCAATGAAGTAATGGCTAATGCCTAGCGTAATTTGTTTTTCTTATGAGGGAACCAACTGTCAACACGTTTCGTACGCTCGTAAGCAAACTAAGCAGTCATACAACCAGTGCTTAACTATACCGCAAATATTTAGGACCCCTTTACACATACTAGCATAAACATGTCCGAACAAGTGTTACGGAAAGAAGTCCGCTTCGAGTACAATAACTACACCCGTACCTCTGCAGCAGAATTCCTAAAACACGCCTATTTGCCTACACTTACGGAACGCAATCGTGTTTCCCGACAAAAATTTTTATTTCCGCTTTTAAACAATCTATAGACTAATATTATTTCTCATATATTTACCTATTCTTCTGGGTACGCAACAAGACAAAACCATCATCAAACAGTAGCTCCATTGCCCGCAAAAAAAAAACAACAACTGTTTCAAATATTCCTGTTTTTCAAGCACTGTGACTGAACGGAATAAACTGACAAGCCCCCAAGTTAGTCAACCCTCAATGTCTTCATTCACTGTAACTATCTGCTCTTTACTTTCCTTTATGCAACATGACCTGGCTCCATATGTATTTCTTTCTTGCCATTTTTATGTAGTTGATGTTTTGTACGACTGCTGCATTTGTATGTGCAATAGGACAAAGAATGTATTTTTTCTCATAACTTATGTATTTGAAACACTTATTTTTGGAAGCATTATTTGTTACACGTTTTTGCTATGCGGCCTGAATTTTTTCACGGTTATCATGGTGCATTTATCCCCCGTGATATCCTACTCTGGGCAGTATTGGTAAATAAAACTTATTAAAACAATGCTTGACTATACATAAGTGCGAAAAGTATGTGAGCACCTTTAGCGAAGTCACAAACAGTCATGCAGTCATAAAAGAAGTGTGGGCATAAAACAGTTATGTGTGGGCTGCACCACAAACTAAGCGTTAGCTGGTTTCATGCGGCCCGAATGTTTGACGCCTTCGGTCTAAAAATATTATCCACTTCAGTGCAGCAAAGGCGCGAAGCATTCAATAGTTCTTAGTGTAAGGAAAAGAGAACTTACAATTACCCATATGTAACACGCAGCAACAATATAATCTACACACATTTTTCAGTACAAAAGCGTTTTATTTGGCGCAAAATTCGTCCTATTCAGGGACTGAACCCGCGACAAACGCCTTTCTTGATCGGCCGTTTCTATTGATAGAGCTAACAAGGGGCTAGCAATTGGTAGCGTGAGAGTATATCAATCGACAACTTAAGCCGCACGCACACTAGACCCCGCAAATCAGTTCTGCGGAATGCCGCGATGTGGAAAAAGGGTTAAGAAAGAAAGCAGTTATCCACAATTAAATACATGCTGATTTTCAAAAAAGAAGTATTTCTAGTCGCTCAAAGTCTACTAATAGCACCGCGGAAAAACGTTGGTTCCGAGTTTAGTGGCTGAAATCTTAATTTTTTCACCTCGATTTTGTTTGAATCTTTTTGGCAACCACATTAGACTGTGATGTAGAGCACCCAGGGCTCTGACAACAAATTAAGAAAGAATTAAACGACAAAAAAAACGCAATATGTTACCTAAGTGACCAGACCATTTGCACGTGAAGGACCAGTTGGCCGAACGACAGATAAGTTCACAGATTGGATACCAGTCGCTTCAACGCCCTGACTGCATGCCGGAGCAGAGCGCATCGCCAGTCGCAGACAGTGTCTGCATTTGCGTAACCTGCGAATCTTTGCAAATATTGAATGCATGCACCTTCTATGGTATTTTCATTCGCACTGAACGAGAACGCGTGGCGCATTCAAAACGCTGGATTGCGACTACATGTACGGGACACGCTTTTTTCCAACCTGGTCAAGCTGACAGACTTCATTTTCATTCTTTGATTACTTGCTTTACTGATTCTTGCTCTTTCTTTTTTCCCGAAAGCCATATTTCACTACACTGTGACCAAAGGTTGGTTACTTCGGTGCACTACCTTCTAGCTGGCACCGTGCCGCATTAGGTAAAGCAAAACCAACTTAAACGTGACTCGCTGGAAAAGAGGTGCTCTTATTTTGCTCTCTTGTAGAGAGTTTAGAACTTTCCTGATTTCTATCGTAGCGCATTTGAAATAGAGCAGCGCGTCTAGCACCTGTCTGTGCCAGTCCGTAACAACGCACCAAGGTAACCACGTCGTCGGTGAAAACTTCAGTATCCGGTGCGGAAGATCTTCGTGATTCATTACCTTTCAAGTGCACAGGGAGTACGAACAGCCGGATAAAACATTGAGATAAGCTGAGGTGGGGCCGCACAAAAATTATGGTAAGAAATTTACAGTATTTTGCAATTTGGTGTAACCTGATGTGATTGCCGTCTTGACATATTCTACTATTCATGCACAAAAGTACTATTAACTGCTATGAACAAAAAACAATTACTATTTATATCTGCTCCTACTCTTGTGTCGTAACCTGGCCTTTCTAGTGGTTGCAGGTTATAACTATCAGGGCTCGTTGGAAGTCGACTAGTACACTATTCTGGCACAGCAGCTCCTGTAGGAGTAGCTGAACCAGGCCATATGACAAACTTTTATATACTGTTAGCAGAAAAGATATTGTTTCTTGATATCACAACACTAGTTGGCCAATGCGAACACTATCTCTCAGACCCAAGAAACATTGCATAATGTTCCATGTCAAGTATATTTCATAGAGAAGCTATGATGTGGCATGAGGAAACCACTTCCAATTTCTTCATTTGCTGCCAATAATAACTGCTGTCTCGTAGAGGTATCTGCCTTAGTGCCTTCTGTTTTAAGGTACAAGTTTATAGTCTCCGCGAAATATCTAGTTCTCTAAAATATAGATACCTTGCAACTTGAGCAAAAAATTAAGATGCCACATATATTTTGAACTTCTTTGCCCAGCTATGCCTGTTGGCTGGTGAGACATTGTACTGAGTATTAGGATAAAACTGTACGCCAAAGATAGTCCAAGACTGCCAGTGTACCAGCAAAAGTACTGACTGTGGACATGTTGATGTTTTGAATTAAAAGCGTTCAGATGCAGTTTTTTAGTCAACTTCGATCGACGAAAAGAATCACTGACATCCCGTAAGCTTTCATCTTATATGAGAACAATAAGATTGGCCCCTTACTAGCAAAATAATTATATTAGAAGTGTATGTCAACGAAAATTTATTTATGACGATATGTCACACAAGTTGGTCTTTCGGGATAAGTACTTCAACTAGCCACCTCATTTATTTGAGGGAGCTTGATCGGAGATCAGAAGATATTGATATAGTACAACCACTCATGAGATGATTGCTGTTAGGGTAGCAGCCACACTACAACACTGGATGATTCTGTATGAAAACGATGAATGTGGAACTTGGTCGTGTTATCAGACCTGTTGGCTTGTATAAATAATGATCAAGAGGAACGGAGAAAACTAACAAAATGTGTTCGCTTAAGTAAACATCTTGCTACAAAGATTTTGCGCTTGACATCATACTGCATTGCACAACCGTATTTTATACTGAAACTTTCAAAGCATCAAATAACGTCCATGATTGCTGAGCGAATTTAAATGATGAGGCACCAGATAGCTTGTATAGCAACTACCTAAAGGCCTCATACAGCAACTTTATTCTTCAGCAGAAAACTTTGTACACAGTATCCATTACCAAGGGCGATTGTGCGTGGGCAGCTAAAATTTGGGCTTGTGCTTATGTTCACTTTGAAGTACCTGCGACTCAATGCCTCCGTCAGAAAGCTACGTTACAGTGCCTGTCATGAACGCGCTATTTCAGAAGTACATGGAACTTGTCCACGTCATGCACACTAAAGTCAAGAATTGTGTGGGAGCTCACCCCTTTCATGGACTTCGGTAGATCGCAGTGTTACCCTATTTTTGAGGGAGAGAAATTGGCGTAATTAAAATGGTGTTTTTTGTGGTGCTACCTGGCCTGGCTAACCTGAATGTACAGGATTCCTAACTTGTCAGCTTTATATTCTCTTTGTTCTTGCCACTCATTTTTGGTAGGTATTATGACAAACCAAAATAATTGCTTGTCATGTCTCTCAAGCACATCAGCCTTTTCCTATGTACCTTGAACCACCCATGCTATATTTTTTTAATGAACGAGCGAAATTGTGCAGCTAGAAGCACATTCTGGCAGTAGCCAATAGGTATGCAACCTTATTATAATAAACTCTTTCTCGCTCTCGCCTCTATGTTTAGTCATTGTGGAGATCAGTTTCCACGTGATATTCAGAATCGTGGTGGTAAATACTCTCCATAAAATGATGGATATAGTGTAAAATACAAAGAAATCCTGCTTTTAAATGGCAGCATCATCTGTCATTTTCTACAAACAACCTCTCCCTTCCCTACCTCCTCTTTATTTTGGTAATTCTATCTCGCTCGCCTCTTGCGGGACAAAATCTCGTGACTACGGCGTACTATGTGGCTACAACGTGGATGCTTTCCTGTCCACAAACAAAAAAGCCCGAGCGTCCTTAGCAGGTTCTGTCATATCCAATGGAACACGGTGACGAGGAACCCGAATTGACAATGTAGGACATCCCTTGTTAGTTCGTTGCGGTATATTTCTATCCCACTGTTCCCGCTAGACCGTGCCCTCTTTTTTTTCAAAAATAAATCATAATGCTTCCGTAAAGCTGCGTCATGTGTTTTTAACTCGAAAGCGTTTTATGCAGGGGTCCATGAAGATTTCAGTAATGTACTTCCATCACTGAAATGACTTCTAGAATATATCACAAAGACATTCTGTCAATGGAAGTCGAAGCTATGAGCTCTCAACCAGTGACAATAGCTGCCGGGTGCGCCATCTACTGCGCCATGATTCCATACATTGCATGTTTTGAAAACGTGCCTTTTGAATCTACCAACGCTCTCTCACTGTACCCTTGTAAATATGTCATAACGCACCATGAGCGATTTTCCACATTTAGTTCCTTGAACGTGTCGTTTTTACGCGTTTGTCCTATTTAGGGCGTCTTCAATGGAAGTGCATTTTTGTCAACACCTCAAAACGCTGGCAGGGGGCGACCAGCCAAAGCATCGGCATAGCTCATAGCCTCCACCCACACTAAAAAGGTTAACAGCATATTCACGGAGTGTATGATGATGAGGGGAGCTAAGCGTTCAACCATCCGTCCGTCCGTCTGCCTGTAGATCTGTCTTTCTATCTCTTCGTCCGTTTCTCTGTCTGTCTGTCTGTCCGTCCGAAGCCCCACTTCGTCCCACTCAACATCATTCACTCAGTGGACAGGCTGTGAGTTTTTTATTATAACAGCGCCATCTATCCTGTTTATTCGTCAACTATACAAATACCACTAATGCCATCTAGTGATATTTACAAGCACATGCACACACAACACCACCAGGTGAACGATTCTCGAAACTAACTAGAAGTGGGTACAGAAACATACTACTACGAAATTTCCGTAACCTTAGGAGTTTTACCCCTGAAACAATTTTCTATCGCATAGCAATATTTCAAAGCACATGTAAACACAATACCATCTCATGAACAATTCTTGAAACTAAATATAAGTGGATACTACAACATATTACGACGAAATGACCCACAACCTAAGAAGCTCGGCCCCTAAAATAGTTCTGCATGGCATTGAGCAACTCGCCTGTTTCACCTGGTTGTAACCCCGCTTTTCCCGCTTGCGCTCGCCACACCAAAACTTGTGGCTGGCCAGCACAGAATACGCAACACGCATCAAGTTTTTATTTGGTAGCGCAGTGGCGCTCAATACTCTAGCAAACCGTAATGTGACCTCAGCTCAAACTTGGCGCAGAATCGGTGAAGCTCATCTGGCTCTCACATCGCTTCATTCGGTTTCGCTATTACGGTAACTACTAAAGCTAGAACATGTATCCGTGATTACAAGGGCTCATCAATCAATCATTTATTATGAGCCTTAGTTGTCGGGAGGGAGATGTATGACTAAGCTTCAGCGTTGAAGTCTTAACAAAAAACCGTACGCAAATTCAACTGTCAAACACCAACAGACATTGTATGAACTCTCTTTTATCAAGACTAAACTACTTCTAATATAAAATGGTTTCTTTTCGTGTTATACCAATTCCTAAGGCGGTGGGATCAACTGTGTTGTTTTTTTCAATCTAGATCTTTGCAGTAGCTTCAAAATGCAAGCATTATTGCATGGCGGTCAGTGCGCAAGTGGGCCTCAACTACTGGCAGATTACCATGCATGTTAGTAGAATTCGCTGACGAGCGCACCAATTATTTTATGTATTTTTTTCTGGCACTGGTGCATCTATGATTTCCCGAAGGCTTTTAAAGCACTGCTTTAGAATACCATCATAAACTTTAAATGCTCTTGCGAAAACGTGCACGCTTTATGCCCTTGGGAAACTGATAGCGAAATCGCCTGTACACGGACTGCTTCGCTAATTATTACATGTGCAGAAGCTCCACTGTCATACCAATGGCAGTGCAGCCAGAATTAGTTGTTGAGAGGTAGACAATGCTTACGCATTGATACGCTACATCACAGGTTTTCACACAACGAATGCAATAGGCAGTTCTTCGAGATGACCCTGCCACGTGGCTACAAATGTGGCCGCTAGGCTGGCAGTTGACTCTAATCTAAGGGTGCTGATTAAAATCGCAGAAATTTAACCAATCTTGCCCAAACTGAAGATGTCAGAACCAACACAACACCTTCGCTGACTTAGCCGCAAATGACTGCACTTAAAGTATATGCACATTCAACATATTTGTGTTTTTGATAGTCGACAGGCTAGCACTTCGTCATGATTTGACTCTGAGTTACATAACTACACACTTCTTTTTCTCCTTTTAGATTGCAACAGCATTTGTAGTGTTGTCATTGGTCACGGGAAGCTTTGCCGGCTATATCGGCGCTGGCTACGGCCTCGGATATGGTGTCAGCCACTTCGGCGTGTCTAGAGGCTTTGGATACTCTACTGTTACGGGATTTGCCCACAGTATTGGCTACGCTTCGCCGCACAAATACTCTGTCATTCCTGACGGCCCAGCACATGCTCCTGTCGTGCCCCTGGTTCCGGCACACGTAGCTGTGCCAGCAGTGGTCGTTCCTGCAGGCGTGAGCACGGTCACAACGACTCATCATGTACCAGCAACAATTACTACCGTCACTACAGTGCCAGCCACACTGACGAAGGTGACAACGTATCACAGTCCTGTGGTTGGTTCGGATATACACCTGGCTCCGGTCTATGGGCACAAGATCGGAAGTCTCGGGTACGGAACAGGAAACTATGGCTTCGGATACGGTCTAGGGTCATACGGCCTCAACTATGGCTACGGCCTTGGTACACCTGTGCAGTATCTGATCCTGCTGCGTCGGCGAAAGTGTAAGTATTCTAGATAATTTATAAAAACTAAAGTTGCCAAAGTTCAGTGCCAAGTTATTATTTAGGCTGCCTGCAGCAAAGCCCACATGAAAGCCTCCCAAACAAGTGCGGTAAATATGTCGACTAAACGCATAAAAGCAGACTAAACGCACATCGGATGAATTTGACAGGTTCAATGGGTAGACGATAGTAGAAGTAATGAGGCGGCTAGCAAAACTGGAGATGCTTGAAGGATGCACTTTTCTCGTAAACCTTGGTTATTGCACAAATAGCTCTTAGTTTACTCAAACCATGCTGTCGGCTCTGAATCTCCACGTTTTGCAGATACGCCGCAGCGTACATAAAACGCCTCGTATACGAAATGCTTCATCTCTTTTATAAACATTACGTAGCTTATCATGGCTTTCCTTTGCATAGCTTTGCTGTACATAGAAAGCTCATCATTTGTCACACGTAGCTGTTCTTTGCAGTTTTGGTGCATTTATAAACTCTGTTTCTGCTGAACAAACTCAATTGTAAGCTAGCACTCGCTTATAACTTTGTGCCCTCATGTTTGGTTCGAGCTATAGCAGTCAACATGACAAACTGACTAGCCCAAGCTGCTGCCATTTTAGGCCTGTAAGTGTCCTTGCAGGGGAACCTCATGAATGCGCTGCCTGACCTAAGAGCTTCACGTAATTTTTTTTGTACTACTACGCCATTGTGGATTCACGCATCAAGTGTATTTATTTCTTTGTTCCTTTTTTGTAAGATATGTTTCCAAAGAGATATTTCCGCTGTGTGCCACCCAATAACCTGTACGAAGATATAATATCCATGTTCTTTCTCACACCAGTGTATCAGGCAAAATGTTTGTCGCCGATGTCTTTGATTGTGTGCGTTAAATTGGCCGTGTACAGTGTTTACTACTCATTTGAGCCCATGTTCGCACGCCTGGTCTTCAGTCTTTTCATTTTCAATTTCTCCAAACAGCTAAGCTGGCGCTCCAGAGTAGGCGTCCCTCCAGATGCTTATTAAACCCATTTATTTTTGTTTTATTGAATATTTAACGTGAAAATGATTTATACCGGGGTTCATCGTGGCTCCACTGACGTATTTCCGTCACGTATATAACCTTGTAAAATACACAATACTATATTGCAAAAAACATTTTGAAGGAAACGTTCGGTCATCATGCGTCGTGCCTACGACTTTTCGCCCCCAAGCGCGCCGCGTGAAACGACTTGGACATGAAGCGTGCGTTCCTAATACTGCGTAACGGTGAGCCTTCTTCTATACGCCATTTGCCACTGGCCCAACTCAAAAGTCTCCGACCTTCCACGTGTTGTGGTTATCACTGGAGAGATGGCGTGAAGTGACCGTGTGCGCCTCAGCAAGGCGTGGCCGCTTGTACGCCAGCAGTTATGTCGTGATCACGGGCGTTTGTACGTCTCGGGCTTTTCCACGAGTGTACTTTGAAGGTAAAGGATCACACTGCTTCTTAATACATAAAAAACACCATCTTAATACATAAGAATGGAGATGACAATGACTTGAAGAATTACAAGCTAATCAGCTTGCTCTCCGTCGTATACAAGCTATTTACGTAGGTAATTGCTAACTGAATTAACACAGCATTAGAATTCAATCAACCAAAGGAACAAGGAGGATTCTGAACAGGCTACTCAACAATCTACCACATTCATAATATCAATCTGGCAATAGAAAAATGCTAAGAATACAACTGAGCACTATACATAGCCTTCATAGATTACGAGAGGGCGTTTAATTCAGTAGAAATATCAGCAGTAATGAAGACACTGCGAAATCAGGGCGTCGACGAAGCATATATAAACATCCAGGAAGAAATATACAGGGGATCAGCTGCCACCATAGCGTTCCATAAAAAAACAACAAAATTTCAATCAAAAAGGGTGTTAGGCCGGGGGATACAATATCACCAATTCTATTTACCGCGTGCTTACAGGAGGTGTTCAGAGGCTTAGAGTGGGGAAGATTTAGGGATAAGGCTTAATGGAGAGTACATAACCTGCGCTTTGCCGATGACATTGCATTGCAGAATAACCAAGTGGACAAATTGCAACTCATGATTAGAGTTAGAGGAGGGGAGCAGAAAGGTAGGTCTTAAAATTATTCTGCAGAAAACGAAAGTAGTGTACAACAACCTCGGGAGACAACAGCGCTTCGAGATAGGTGATAGTGCACTTGAAGTTGTAAAAGACTGTTTACTTAGAACAGGTAATAACCACGGAGCTGAACGACGAGATTGAAGTAACTCTAAGAATAAAAATGGGGTGGAGCACATTTCGCAAGCACTCTCAAATCATGACTGGTAGATTGTCACTATCCCTCAAAAGGAAGGGATATAAAGCTGCCACTTGCCGGTACTTAGCAATGGAGCAGAAACATAGAGACTTAGAAAGAGGGTTAAGCTTCAGTTGAGACGACGCAGCGAGTGATGGAAATGAAAATAATAGGCATAACCTTAAGACACAAGACGAGAGCAGAGCAGATCAGGGAGCAAACCGAATTTAAGGATATCATAGCTGAAGTCAAGAAGAGGAAACGGACATAGGCCACCCATGTAGCGCGTTGGCAGGATAACTGCCGGTCATTAAAAGTAACTGTCTGGATACCCAGAGAAGGCAAGCGTGTAAGGGGGATACAGATAGTTAGGTGGGCTGATGAGATTAAGAAGTTTGCGGGTATAAAGTGGCAGCAGCAAGCACAGGACCTCGTTGACTGGCGGAACAAGGGAGAGGCCTTTGTCCTGCAGTGGACGTAGTCAGGTTGTTGTTGTTCTTGTTGTTGATGATGATGATGATGATGATGATGATGACTGATTCCAAAGGTGTAAAAAAATCACAGCATGTCCACGGAGGGAACGATAATGAGTAAGGCAAAATATTTGCCTGAGTGTCCATGCTTCCGTCCGTCCGTTCGTTCTTGTTTCCGTCCGTCCATACGTTCGTCCGTGCTTCCATCCCTCAAAGCATTTGTGCGCCCGTCCGTACATCTGTTCATGCGTCCATCCATTCGTCCATCCATCCGTCTGCGTGTCCCTCTGCCCAAGCGCCGGTTCGTGCGTCCCTGCGTCTCTTCGTCCATCCGACCATTCATTCGCGCTTACGTCCGTTCGCCCGCCTACTGGTGCTTGTCTGTCTGTCCGCCCGTGCGTCCATCTAGTGAAAACTTCAAGTACCAGCGTTTCGTAATTTTTCATCATATATTTATCATTTACAAGTACTGCCATCGAGCGAACATTCCAAGGCCTAAACTAGTGGTGGCTACCCACTAATACGACTACATAGGTAGGAAACGCACTAAATACGACTTAAAAAGCATCGCCCCCAAGGTTCTAAAAGTTGCTAGCGCTTGTCATTTGCATACTTGTGTGTTCATCAAGTGCGTTCTCTTTTGCGTTTGAGCAGATTGGTTTTAGTGTCGAGCTATGACAGTTCACGCTCATTGTCTGTGTGTTCTTTTCGTGCGTCATTTATGCTTGAGGAATATGCTGCAAGGTTTGAGCCATAGAGTTTCATACAATAACACTTAGAGGGGAATCAGGTGCTAGTATCTACGTGGGCTCCTTCAGCAGCACGTGTACTCCCACGGGAATTATGGGAAGTACAGGCTTCAGGTCTGCTTTAAATGGACTACGTTCTTGAGATTCGCGACGCTTTTTGCCGAATGTAAAACAAATTCTGATGAAGCTATATTTATGAAAATCGCTTCACTCTTTTGTATGTAAATCTTCTTGCTTAATGTTTCCGTGATCACGAGGCATAAGTGAAACCTGAACAAGTTTGGCCAACAGGGTACGCATTGCTCTGCCATTGCGTTCAAAATTATTTATTTCTTTTTTATTTATTTCAGACAACCCGTATACACAGTTTGCCCAGGGGATTGGCGTAAAGGCAAAAAAATCCTGACGAAAAGCTAACCGGCCCTTGTGTACACACATAAATAGGCGGTTATATATAGCAGTACAAAATTGGAATGCATACAATACCATCAAACATTTACAATTTTTTTCTGACAACAAGCCATTTGACAAAAAAATGAACATATAGCGAATTAGCACATAAAGAAATAATGAGAGACTATTTGTGCTCAACGATGGCAGACAAAATAAAAATAATTATTAGAAGCATTGAAATACAGCAGCATATGCAAGTTACATAAAATAAGAAGATGGATCGGAAAAGGTATAAGAAAAAGTTTTTACAAAGAATGTGTGTATCTTTTTGAAGGCATAAATGGAAAAAATTCGTTCAATTCAGGTCATTAAAGTGGGTTGTTCATTAAAGAAGTGGGGAATTAGGTAATTTAGTCTGTGTGTACCGTAATTTGTACGAAGCATGTCTTTCTTGAAGCTGTTGTGTAGCAAATTATGACTGTAGTGACACTCGTGAAACTTGCTCAAAAAATTCAATTCAATTAGATTTAACTTCACGATATATGATAATTGCTAATTTTTTATATTGGATATTAATAATGACTAGCAGTCACTGTTCTTTTTTTAATAAAAGGGGCCGTATGCGAACGAAAAGGTAGGAGTTCAATTCTTATAGCTTCAAGATATAGTGAATTATTTTCACAACATTAAGAAAGCGTACTTGTCTTGCGTCGAAAGTACGCTTTATCTATTTATGGAAATAACAATACAGTATTAAGTGGCAAACACTTGACGTTTCGTCTGCTGCAGTGCTAGGTGCGACTGTCCAATTGGTCGGCTGGGACTCTGCACCAAACGTACCTCTCGTTTAGTTGTGCAGTCAAGTCAAAGGAGTGTGACGGTGCGTCTACTTCGTTTCACCATCATTTATCAGTCGTTTCAAATGAGTTTATGCCAGACGCGCTCGTGCAAAAACATGAACTAGATGGAATATCCTGCACTGGCATAAGACGCCACATCTATATGCAGCGGTGAGTGAATGGCGCTTTGTTTAAACTGTCTAATACGACTCGTAAAGCTCTAATGTCAAAGCAATTCAAGAAACCTAGTTGTCTCTAGACCCTTAGAACAACAAAGGCACTGATTCAGTGTTTTTCCCTGCACCTCACTACCCGCCCTGCGCGAAGAACGAAATTCAAACTATAGAAAAAGTTCTTTAGGCAGTTTGCCAGCTAATACTATCCAATCCGAAGCCTGTACTTCCCATAATTCCCATGGGGGTAGACGATAGCAGTGCCAGATTCCTCTCTGAGTTTTGTTGTATGAAACTCTATGGTTCGAGCCGCTCGCTATTCTTTGTGTGATTTGACAATTTCTAGCTATACCAACACTTTTTTCCTGAACCTTGCAGAGAAACAATTCACCATTAAAGTTCAACTACCTTGGTGAAGACACGCCACACTTTCTCGTTATACCAACTCATAATTTCAACTACCTCATTTTCTGTTATTCTCTGCCTAAAGTTTTGCTGCCACAATCGACAAAAACGCTATTTTAGAAATTGGCTTTGGTCACCTTGCTTATGAAAAGTTGGTTAAGTTTAAGATACACATTCATGTCATCCGCTACGTGTTTGTCACGAGCCGGATACAAGTGAACCTTCTTTGATAGGCTGAGAAGTTGCGATGTTATTTTAAAAGGTGCTACAACAAACTCTTCAAAAAGACTGTGTTGTATTCAAAACTCCTGCTTTATCTCTTGCGAGCTAGCTGTTATAAGAGAGCGTTTGACATCTTTTATCCTAAATTCGAGTGCATAAGCTGTTGATGGCGCGCATGATGAAGTCAAATTTTCACAACTTATGATCCCTCAACAGGTGACTTCAATTGTAGGTGAACATAAAATATATGTGAACAAATGTAAACTTATTTATAACGGTATTCGTTTTGGCGAGGCGTGTCACCGCTTTCTTCTGCCCTTCAACCTATACCAGGCGAATGTTTAAAATACCGCACCCCTCATCGTCGGTGACAGCCGAGCTAGCAGCGATTGATGGCGCCCTTAAGTACGTACAAGAAGGGTTACCAGCTTCGAAGGTTGTCACCTCACCAACTCTCGTGGTGCCCTTCGCAGACTCACCAGCAAGGAGACCAACAGCCCTATAACGACCAGCATCATGGAATCTATTAACAATATTCTGTCACGTGGGGTATACCTAGCTGCACAGTGGGTACCCTCGCACGTGGGTATTTCGGGTAATGAAGAAGCGGATCGCCTTGCTTCGTCATGCAACCATGATGGCCGTGACTGTCCGGGAATTCTATGTACGATGGAGAACGCTCGTCTGCTTATACGCCGACACCCCATATAGCAGCACCCAGACCACCATGTGGCGAATGAATCGTTCTCTTCGCGTTTTCGTGGCCTTGGCTTGCCTCGTAGTTCCCGAGCGCTGTCGTACAAACTAGGAAGTGGGTTCAATGCTGGCGCGTGAACAACTAGACCGTCAAGGGCGTGTAGACAGTCTGTTGTGCGCAGCTTGTCCTCCTGTGAAACACTAGAGCATCTCGTAGTGCACTGTCCTACATTTGCTACTCAGTGGTCTTTGCTGATTAAGGAATATAAATTCCTAGGATTTAAGTGCGCGACCCTAGACGACTACCTCTTTCCGAGTGGTAGTGCTTCCCGACGCGACCAGGCCCACCGAGCTTTCTTATCGTTTATGAACCAAACGAACCTGGCCACCCGTTTATAGACGGTCTTTTTTATTATTTTTTATTTATGTTTCTTATACTGATACTCATCGAAGACTTCGTAATTTTTTTTTTCTTCCTCATGTTCTTTCCTTTTTCTCCCCTCCAATCTTTGTTTCCTCTGTTTCTTCCCTACTCCCGAAAGAGTGAGCAGGCGTTTTGCCCCTCCAAGTGGCAGTTGCCAGCTTGCTCTCTCCCTCTTTCCTCTGTGTCCATGTGTATCTGTGTATGCAAATCAAATAATATTACTATAATTAAAATTGCTTTGGTACTATGCATTACTGCGTTGCGGCATGAGCAGGATGAACGTGTTCCTCGGTCTCTATTTAGTTTCATCCAAGTGTGTCTCTTTTGAATCGATAGCAAGAAAAAAAAATGTCAATAACGCAAAGCAGAGAGCACCTGGTCACCTTTCGTCTTGAACCAGTTGTGGGTTTATCTCCGAGATGATTATTCCTGTCATCCAATCCTTCTCTTGTAGCTTTTCTTCATCATTCATTCGTTTGCATATTGCTTAGGTCATTTCCATGACAGAAAATGTCAATGAAGTTTGATGAACCTTGGCATAATACACTTTCATATTAATGAGTATGTTAGCAAATGAGCGGCATGTGCACTGTTTCCAGATTGGTGTGAGAGAAAAAAAACACTTCATCCTGCTTTATAGGAATCGACATAACACGGAAGTGAAAGTGTTCTTGAAGAGGTAGTTTAGGATTCATTGTGCATTGTTTCGCCACAAGGGCGAAGGAATGAATGCTGCAGCAACAATTTGCAATGTCACGCGACGAATGGTAAGCAGCTGGAAACTTTCAGCGAAAGTCGCAGCTCAACACGTAAAAAATGTGAGTGAAACACAAAGACGTACGAAACGAACGCACAAGTGTACACCTGGACAAACGTCAACGGCCGTGGCAGCGAGCGAAGTAACGTTCGTGGTCTCTTTAACTAGTGTACATTCAAAGCAACTTTGTCGTGCAAGTGCAAGAAGTACAGAGCGCCCAAATCCCAAGATAAGCGCACGCGTGAGGGAGCAATCAAGCTATATATCAATATACCTTCATTGACCGCACCGTGGGGGGGCACGTGACCACGACTACGCGCTCGCTGGTGCGGCACAACGACCTTTAGAACACGTGCGCACAACACATGCTTGTCGTGCCATCTCGCTACTGTTGACGAAGACGAGATGAGGAGCCGAGCTCTAAGGACGGCCAGTGGTACATGGTATATATGAAGGGCTCACCGTTAGCATACTCGGTGGCTTGATGGTTAGCGGTGCGCACTGAGGAGCGCGAGTTCGCTTGCTCGACGACCTGCTACGGATCTTTTCTTTCTCGTTTTTTTTCTCTAGAATATGTTAGCAAATATTTTACGTCATATCCGCGAGGGAAATACGCCATGGCGTCGCAGTGAACCACCGCATAAAAAACTTTCTTCGTAAAACGTAAGAAAGGAAGTTTGTAAGTGCTCTACTTGCTCATAAACTTCGCCTGCTGCCGCTATGTGCAGTTCGCGCGACCAGCAGAGCGGTAATAAGGAGTTAATTAACGTAGGATGCGTTCTCCACGCCAGTCTTGTACTGATGACACTGCTGAACATGCATGGTCTTGACGAAGAGGGACAAGCGAGTCACGTTCGTTTCCAACAGAGGGCGGGCCGAGCTGGTGCTGTGGGTTCTCCAGCAGCTATGGTACTTCAAAAATCTATCACATGGTGCCTATAAGTCACCGTATCACTCCTGATCTTCATGACACATCACTATCAGTCAAACTAGGTATAGGGTTTTTACATGTCGCTGAAATGTTTATAGCATCACTCACGATCTCTTTTTTTGTGTTTGAATATTACAATTATTCGCTCTTAATAATTGTGTTCACGTTTAGAAATTTAGTCACGTAAAAGAAACCAGACGCACAGCAAGCACTCTAGGAATGGCTTCGTGCTTCACATAATGTAAATGCCTTGCATCACACTAGATGGGATTGATTTGATAGACCACGTGAAATATTCACTCATTTTATTTTGTCTATTTACAGGAACATCGGACAACTAACGCTTTGAAGTATGACGTATGCTTCTGCTACCCATAAACAAAATTCGGTCAAGCAACTGCAACGGAAATGCGCATCTATTTTAAGTAGATTTAGGCGTTATCTAGTCTTTTTAATAACTTTATCGCTGTGTTTATACGTATTTCGGCTGGTAATCTTATGGTTAATTGCTACGTAGCGAGAAGCATGGAATAAATAACACTGGCAGCCCTGATGGAGTACACGATAATAAAACAAGAACATTACTACTGTGTTTACCACTATAGGGTAAGCTGGAGTGAGGTAAGTGGGATGCCATTTCAAATTCTTATAAACTTCGGCGGTGACACGTTCTGGCTTTATGTACCACCTAAAATAGTGGAAATGTTTGACCACTTGTCACATGTGCGCTCGACAATCTAACCAAGATTTCTGGGTAGAGAGTCAGACCTCAATGAAGTTGCGCTGTGACCAGCTTCACATACCCGATAATTGTTGCAAAAGGAGATATTAAAAATTCTAAAGGTTCTTTATTCACCTAAATAAGACGACTGCAAGCCGAAAACAAACTTATTTTTGCAGTCGAAGGACACATCCTTCCTTGCCACTTTTCCAAAGCTTTCAGAACCTACTGCCAATCCCGATTGCCTCCAGGATCGGAGGCATGTCACGTGGTTTTGCAGTCTCTTCGAGATCTTCCCACCTTTGAACAAGCTAGAATATCACGTGAAGACATCCCCATGTGACATGAATTTTTTGTGAACCCACGATTACGACACCAATTTTGACAATGTGACGTCATAGCAAAGTCACTTGGGAAGTTATTCAAGTTAACAGTTTTCTTCATTATTAAGTTCATGCCGACAGAAGACGTACACGTGGGACGAAGTCAATTCTTGCATTTGATGAGGCCTGAAGGGACACTGAGAAGCAAAACATTTTTCACGTATTAGTAAAGCGCAATTTCACAGTGAAGAAAGCACCACATTTTACGCGACACGACGCTTGGTAAGCATAAAACCAACAAAAAACCAAGTGGAGATGCCCCTCTGAGGTTCCCGCACCAAATTCCGTGACGGAGTAATCATTGAAGGTGTTTGCTTGGTCCTGCATAACTTCTACTTGATAATGATGAAGTACATAGACATCTGTGTATTCAATAGACCTAGTATACAAAGTTTGATAAAATTTGATATAGTAAATTTAACCAAAATAATAAAAAACAGCCAGGCCTGCGTTAAACTGCAACACACTCACAGTGAAAGCTCTAAAAGCGGCCTTTCAGAGCTTCTTCTGAACGCTCTTTGGGTAACTGCTATAAGCAGGCTTGGTCGGTGCCTACTACATCGTAAATAATCATAATTTCTGTAATTAAGTCCGGTATATAGATGATGATGATGATTCCTCCACTATTGCTCTTGCCCCTTAGGGGGACTGCCAAGAAATACAGAGAGAGAGAGAGAGAGATAAAGATGCAAGGAAAGGCAGGGAGGTTAACCAGACGCACATCCGGTTTGCTACCCTACACTGGGGAAGAAATAAAGGGGAGAAAAGAGGTTGCAGAAAGATGAGAAGGTACACACAATCACAGTCTATAGGCGGTCGCTTAGGTTTGTTGACTTTAGGTAAAGTAGCAGCGCTTTCGTTGCTTTCTGCGCAACTGAAGCAGATGCCCAAGGTCCTAGTATCTTCTGCACACAAAATGGTCCGGGGTCAAGTTGATTCAAAACCATCCGGAGCTGGCATCGCTGTGTGTCGTAGCAAGCGCAGCTGCACAGGACGTGTTCGATGGTCTCTTCAGCTCCGCAGTAGTCGCATGTAGGAGTGTCTGCCATACCAATGCGAAAGGTGTACAATTTTTTAAATGCAACACCCAACCAAAGGCGGCATGACAGTGTCGCATCGGAGCGCGAAAGTTGTGATGGTAGCTTTAGCTTGAGCGAAGGATCCAGTTCATAAAATTGACACCTTTGAAAGCTGGTAGACGACCAGAACGTGCGTGTGAGATCTCGAGCCAGCAGGTAAAGTTGTCTTGCTGCATCATTCCTTGATAGAGGAATCGGGACTACACGGGTTCCTTCCTGGGATGAGCGGGCCGCATCATCGGCTAATTGATTTCCGGTAATACCGATATGTCCAGGCAGCCAATAATATATAATATCATGCCCTCGTGCTAGAGCTTCATGAAGGGAATGTCTCATTTCATGTCCCAATTGTTCATGATTCCTCCTACGCATGGCAGCCTGCAAACTCTGTAGCACTGCCTTCGAATCACAGAATATGACCCATTTTCCTGGACGTTCTTGAACGAGGTATTGTAAAGCAGCCCTTATAGCAGCAAGCTCTGATGCCGTAAATGTAGTCATATGCGACAACTTGAACTTGAGTGTCATTGCTGTAGCCGAAATTACAGATGAGCTGCTGGACGAGACGGACCCATCAGTGTATATCTGCGTTCGGTCTAAGTACATTTCATGTAATAATAGCAGTGTTACTTGCTTCACTGCTACTTTGGAGTGATTGCTTTTCTTTTTGATTCCCGGAATTTCTAGACGTACTTGTGGCTGGTCGAGGCACCACAAAAGACATGCCATTCTCGCAGCTGGCGTATATCCTGAAGGAATGCTGTTTAGGTGCTTGGCTATGACGTCTGTAAACGTAGCACGTGGTCTTCCGGAAGGTAGAAGGGCCAAGTGGTGGTCGGGGACATGGCTAGCATGTTGAATGTGCGCTCTGAGGCAATACACAACTCTATATGTCCTGACCGGATGGCCTTTGGCAAGCATGATTGTGGCATAAGTAGAAGCGCATCGGGGCAGTCCTAGGCAGATACGCAGTGCCTGACCCTGCAAACTCTCCAATGAATGAGTATTCGATTTGCAAGTGTTAGTCAGTACCGGCAAGCTGTAGTGCAATAGACCCAGAAATAGGGCCCTGTACAGCTGTAGCATGGAGGCCACAGAAGTTCCCCATGCTTTCCCGCACAAGAGTTTCATTATATGCACAATAGATAGCAGTCTCTTCTTCAAGTACGCACAATGTGGGCTCCACGGAAGACTTCTGTCGATTATTATGCCCAGAAAACGATGCATCCGTGCATATTTGACACTCTGCCCATTGATGTAAACAGGGTATGGCGTCATTGGTTTGCGTGTAAGCGCCATCAACGCGCACTTCACAGTTGATATATTTAGGCCTTGTTTCTGAAGGTAGGCTGTTGTGAGGGTTGCTGCCGGCTGTATTCGTGCACGCACCTGAGGGCGAGTAACTGCGGCACTCCAGAGGCAAATATCATCGGTGTATATGGATAGGCACACCGACTTTGGCAGAACCTTCACCAGACCAATGAGGGCAACATTGAATAATGTGGGGCTTAAAACACCTCCCTGAGGTACTCCGCAGTAGGTGTCATGTTGAGCAGTTGTACCCTCATATGTTTGTACAAAGAAACTCCTGCCAGTTATATAATCTTTTATCCATTGAAACATTCGTCCACCAATGCCCATTGCTGCGAGAGAAGTGAGGAAGGCATCGTGAGCTACATTATCATATGCACCCTTCACGTCAAGAAAGAGTGCCACTGATATGCGCCTGCCACTTTTTTCTTGTTGAACAAATGTCGATAAGTCAAGGACACAGTCAATAGAGAAGCGGCCCCGACGAAAGCCTGCCATGCAAGAAGTGTATTTGGTGTATCGTTCCAAGTACCACTCGAGACGAAATAGAACCATTTTTTCCGTCACTTATCCGAGGCAGCTTGTGAGGGCAATAGGGCGACACGCTGTCAAGTCCAATGGTGATTTTCCCGATTTCAAATGTGGTATTAATCGACTTATTTTCCATTCTCGGGGAACACTGCCGCTAAGCCAGGAGTTGTTGAAGCATGTTAAAAGTTCTTTTCTGGCTTTTTGTCCAAGGTGTCCCAACGCACTATAAGTAATACCATCCGAACCTGGCGATGACATGCGCTTAGACGCGACTAACGCACCTTCCAGTTCTTCCATGGTAAATGGAATGTCCATTTCTGGTAATCGCGTCTCAGGAACGATCACGGCGTCGATGCTCTCGTTCATAATATTCCCGGCAACTCTCGTGCAAAATTCTTCACCCACCTCGAGTTCTGTTTTTCCATGATGGAGTGCCAAAGCTTTAAAAGGGTGCCGTTGTTGCGGAGAGGAGCGAAGACCACGAACTGTTCTCCAGATATATGACAGCGGCTTATGAGGGTCTGGAGATTCACAGAATGCCTTCCAGCGTTTGCTCTCCAGCTTGTAAATGTGTCGTTGAATCTTTTTCTGGTGCCGCCTAGCTTCCATCAGATCGTAAATTGATCTTGTCCGTCTGTATCGTCGTTCAGCACGCCTTCGTATAGCTCGTAATTCTTCAAGTTCGATGTCATACTGTGTTATTTTAGACGAAAATGGTAATTTACATTTGGACGCTTGCATAGCTTCCGCTATAGTATTTTCCAGGCTGCAGGCGAGACCTTCTTGGCAAGCGTTCTCAACACGCGTTGTAAACATCGACCAGTCAGTGCCAGTTGCAACACCGGAAGAGAAATTTTTTATGATACCATCGATCGTCACGTAGGTGGGTATGTGATCATTCCCATGAGTCTCAATATCGCAAAACCACTTAACTTTGTGAGAGAAGCACCGTGAAACCAATGTCAGGTCAAGGCAACTGCCATACGTGAGACCCCGCAGATATGTGGGGGTACCATCGTTCATGATAGAGAGGTCGTAATCGGAAGCGAATGTAACGATGTTCCGGCCCCTGGCATTCATCCTAGTGCTTCCCCAAAGCATGTGATGGGCGTTGAAGTCACCAAGGATGATCCAAGGCCCATAGGTCCTCATCAGGATGTCTTTTAATCTGTCGCAGTCAAATCGCGATGACGGAGATATATATTCTCCAATAAGCGTGAACAAAACTGCATTCTTCTTTACACGAAGACACACGTACTGATTGTCGTCATTTGAACTTATTGGGTGCGAAAGATAAGTCAAGTCTGTGCGAATGTAAACAATTACTTTGCTTCGTTTTAAGCAAGCGGCTGAACAAAAAGCTTCATAACCGGACAATCTATAAGGCCTTGATACGTTTGGTTCTCATAAGACAAGTATAGGGAATTTATTGGCCCGAACAAATTGGCGAAAGTCCAAGATACGAAACTTCATGCCTCTGGCATTCCACTGAAAAATCGGCGCACTTTTAACTTCAGTGCGGCAGATGAAATTTTGTTGAGCCATTGTGCTTATACGAAGTTAGCAAGAACTGGATTCAGTGCATCCAGTATTTGCAGTGCACTCTTAGCAGATGGAGATTGTATGCTGCTCAGTAGCGTGCGAATCGTGGCAATTAATGATTGCATGATTGCAGTCACTTGCCTGTCTTGGTTGGAAAGATCTCGAACCGGGATCGCGAACTGGCTGTCATGAAACTCCTTCGGTTCGCTTGATGCTGCTTCCCTTTGAAGTGCAGGCCACTCTGTCGCAGTTAGGGTATGCTCACTGGCATTTTGCTCTACAGC